ATCACAACCACAACGCCTAGTCGTCTATCTCGTAAGTTATATTCAAAATACATTGAAATTCTTGTTCTTATATTCGGTCTCCTTCTGCTTTTCCCCTTCTATTTCAGTCAATAATACGGCATGCACTGTTCTGATTCCGTCAACATCAATGGTTTACTCGTCATCATCGCCAACATCCATGCCGTCAATGCTGACAGTTGGATTTGTCAAGGAATAACAGTGGGAAATCCTCAATATGGTGGAGGAACATTCTGTTTTATGGTGATGGTGGTGGTAGTCGTACAATCTATTTAAAATCAGGTTCACAATTTCTCTCGGGCGGTGGTGGTGGCCATTCCATTTTTTATGAATCCGGTGCCTCGTTTGATGGTGGTGGTAATACAGTTCGACTTTGTAGTCCATTGACATTTATCTATAATACATCATTGACACATTGCGTAAATGCAGGGATCATTCGTAAGTTTATCAAAAAGAGGGAAAATTTGCTTATTTTAAGGCGTTTCTCTTTTCTATTTTATTTTATTATCATTACAGCTACCGCTGTTCCAAGAGCCACTACAACAGCACCAATCACAACCACAACTCGTCTTCCCCTACTGTGATTTGATTGTTGTTAGGCGTCCTGCGATTGTCGGGTGATAGACGCTGTTAGCATATTAGTGCAATTTGCTGTATAGTGTGTGGTTTGAATTTTGTGTTTTGAAATAGGGAATGTTTCGGACTTAGTCTTGTGGTTTTCGTGTAGCTGCAAGAGTATTGCGCTGACGTTTTTATAAGTTTGTCGTATTTTAGTGTTTTAGTCGTCGGCTGAAATTTCGGAATTGTCGCTTCTGCTTTTTGGTATTTCCGGATGGCTAAATATATGTAGTTCTAATATTTTGTTGGGTTTCTTTGTTTTAATTTGTGTTATTGTGTCTGCATAGTGTTTATCTGTTTAGAAAATATATATGAGGACTTTTTGAACGAATTATTTCCATCTTGAATGATGAAGTGTTGCGTCCATGACTGGTGTACCGGAGGAAGTGTGTTGCTTAGTATTTCCCGAATGCGTCTGTTGATGTTTACGGGCTAGAGTAGAGCTTCTTGTTTTAAGATTTCCCGTTCAATTCTCTACAAAAGCACTGCTGTACATTTGTTATACATGGTATGAATAAAGGAATAGACCAATGGAAGGAAGGAACTGCGAAGCTTCAGTCTCCTTTACTTTGTGACTCAAAACCCAACGTAAGAACATTTATTCTGAAGACAGTGTTATGCATAAAAAGCAAAATTAAAATATATCGTCTGGTGCTACGAAGTGTCGCCTTTCGTTTCTTGGGTTGGGTTTAAAAGCTTTTTTCTGGTACCGACGGCGATTGTAGTAAATTCACCAGAAAAGTGGGAAATTTTGGCTAGTTGGCTCTGGCACAGCAGAAGGAATGCAACTATTGACCTTTTTGTGTTCGAATGCAATAGAAGAATTATTTTACTTTAAGATGAGGCAACTCTGGCTCCAGAACGTTCGGTTTTAACCGATTTATAAAAGTTTTCTCATGTGATCCAAAACTGGGATTTAAGGCCGATGATTTTTGGTAAATAAAAGAAATTTCAGTTCAATTTCAGTTCAAAACACGAATCCGACTTAAGACTCAGTTCTCGTCTCATACGACCCAAAAGTATCATGGCACTGACTGTCCCTGATCGTATCGACATGTGAAGTTATGTGGGTGTGAGTTGTGAATGAAGAGAAGACCCATACCCACATCCTCTCAATAAAATTTTAATTATAGTCATTGAAATTCAGAATAGCATACTGTCAATTTCGATGTTTATATTTATGTTGAAGTTTCTTGAAATCTTGGTCGTTGTCCAATAGATTATGTATCAAACAAGTCGACTGAATTAAAATTACTTTGTTTTCTAATACAAATAAATTTTCGAACTCCAACTTCATATCGACATCAATCAAACAATTTTTTGTGTCCTTCGTTTTTTTATTGAAGAAAGAAGATGAATATGTCGGACATTCTAAAATGTGAATTTATTTCGAAAAGTAATAATTATACTTGAAAATATTTACTGTTTTTTATCGACTTATAAAGAAGTTGTATAAATTGAAAAGTCATGTAAATCTCGGCTATGCGAAAATGAAATTAGATGCGAAGCTATGATTAGAATAATGGTGCTTTGCTAGCTGTCCATAAACAGATCTTTTCAAAGGTACCCAATAAAGCTTATGTTTGCTATAGCAAACATTAACAAAACAATTACATGATTTACAACACGATATTACTATAATAAAATTATATTTACGTTTTAAAGATAAATTTGTAACATATCATTCAGTTTTATATAGTAAAAGATTTACCTGTATTAGTTATTTAATATCGTACCATGATAATCATCAACAAGTTCATTATGGTAATATTATTGTTTTTTATGTATTTAACGATGTACGTCATTTATTAGTACAAGAGTATCACCGAGCTGATGTTAAAATTTCTGACTTTCTTGAAATTCCCGATGAACTGAAAGAAACAATCGATTTGTTTTATCCTATTTGCTTTTTAAGTGATACATATGTTATTATTCCAGCTAGTCGTATCGTTAATAAATGTGTATCAGTATCATTCCAACAATACCAATGTATCAGTAAAAGGCGTGTAAAATGTGAACACGATTAAATATCAGTACTCTCTTCTTTTTCTTTATTTTGCTTATTTGTCTTCACTTTATGTAATTAATGTTCTTGTTTGTAATGTTGTGATGTTTACTTTGTGTTTTCTTTTCCATTATAAACTAAATTGTTTTCCTTTTATTTGCTTGTGGAAGACAAATATACAAAACTTTCTTCTTCTATTGTAACATACAGTAAAATCGCTATTAGTCAACACCTCCCAACTCTGAACATGGACACAATTTTTGGTCCCTTCAACAAAGATAACCTCTATATAGTGAACACACATGGAACAAAGTATGCGTGTGTTTATGAAACAAGAGAAAAAAAAGAAAACACACGGTGTAAGCCTTGTTTTCTTGTCCGTTGGTCAGTGAACAAATGTTATATTGTGATTTCTTCTGAATTCACCTTTTAATATCCAAAGATGCATATAACTGATACACTCACACTTTATTATAAAAAATC